ATGTGGGAATACATTATATTGGATCTTATAAAAATATCGCAACATATCAGCTCTAGGTGTGGGGACTCCTCTCACCTTTGTATTGATGTGGAAAAAGTAACACAGTTTCTTGCTTCTTCTTTTCTTTATTGAATGGAGAGCTGCCAGTGAAAGCCGTTCAGGCTGACACGGAAATAAAATGAGGGAAGGTAGATTAGAGAAGAGTCTGTGCTGCAGCTCCTTTAAGGTCAATCCCTGGCATTCACCAACCATCACTCCTTTATACTGCTGCTCCCAGTCGCCTCACAACACCCTCGAAGGTTCATTAAGTGAGACGCTAACTGCTTTACAGCAAGAAATGACGGTAATAATGGCAAAGGTTGAAAGGACTGTTGATCAACACAAATTACTCGTAACGTTTGCTCAGAGGTTTGAGCTTCAGTTTCTACCAAGTTTCAGGACGAGACATGTTGAAGGGGGATCATTTGTGCTAATCATGGCGATCCCATAACCTTTATTTATTTTACTCATCATAAGGTCACAGTGTTTCCAAACCGAGGCTAGATGGACCTGCCTTGTGGTAAAATATTAAAGTAGACACCATGTAACCTTTAAACTATATACATTTATTAACTTTCAGTTAGTTTATGATAATTTTATCAAATCATTTTTTTAAAGAATATGCACCAATTAGGCACATTAAAAACTAGGTTAAGGTTTAAAAGGTACACACAGGCCTCTATTCATCAAACTGCTCAAATGTTACATTTTGCCCCTCAATTAATAAAAGTAAATTAAGTTTGTGAAAAAGAATAAAAGCAAACATCACAGTTCTTTGCACTTAAAAAGGATTTTATAGATACATCTCAGAGAACTACAAAGGTCTACCAGCAGCTCTCAGGCTTAGTAATTAACACGTTTCCTGTCTAAACAACATAAAAACCAAAGTGTATAAACTGCAATTTACCATTTTACAGGGAGTTGTGTTCCAGACTATTTCCTGGCCACTCTGAGTAGTTGCCAGGCAACCAGCAGAGACTCGAAGAAGTTACTAATCTTGTCATCAAACTTAGAAACTGTCAGAAAGTGAGTGCTCATCTCCTGACACGGTGAACAGTTCCTTTAAGGTCCTGATAACTTCAGTTATAAATGGATAATCTCAAACAAATCAATGGATCAAATGACCATAAATCAAGTGACACATAGGGAAGTTGTGGGTTTTAGGCAGTGGGGGGGGGGTCATTTTTTAGTTGTCCCACTTAATTAAAAATGATTGATAATGTGGGTCAGCATGCTTTGGATAATCTGGGACAGTCATTTAAATACTTGAAATGGGGGAAATATGCATTTAGGGACTAATGGTAAATACAGTCTGTCCCTTTCTGTTTGAACCGATTGTCTGGTTAACTAACTAGCACATAATCAGTTTGCTCGGATGATCCAAGAGGCACAGAAGAGTCTGTTTCACCAAACATGTGGAGAAGAAAATGGGGTGATGGATGATGATAAGTCTTTCACCTGCAAGGACTGTTTGTCCCTGAGTAGTCCCAATAGAACGGTGAATTTAAAAATGTGAAACCCCTTTAATAGAATGTTTTAAATTCATTTTCTAGTTTATTTGTTTAGGCTTGGGTTCTTTATGAAAAAATATGACTTTTATATGTTAATGTGAATGAATGACATTTCTTTTAATACTTCATATTCAGCTTGAATTTTTTCATAATGCTTAAAAATTGATAATATTGATCTTGACATGATTTAAGCATTCGCAAGTTTTTTTTTAAGAATAATAATAATACAAGCGTCCCAGATTACAAAGTTACCTGTTCCAAAATTTTCTTTTTTGGCACAAACAAAACTAAACGCTGTGTCACGTCTCCTCTGAGTATGAGGAGTCCATTGTTTCTTCAGGTATGGTTAGAAAACACCTTAAGGATTACAGAAAGCAAACAAAGCTGATCTAATGTAAAACAGATATCGATATAAAAGTCACAATTTCTAAAAATGTCCCAGATTACCCAAATTCACCTTCTCTCCAGAGGATGAACCCTTTGTCATTTTCAACACTTGCTCATCAGCTTTCATTCAGCTTCCCAGCCTCTGTGAGGCAGGTTCAAGGGGCCGCTCACCAATAACCACACAAGACCTAACTCTTGCCAA